ACACTTAACCTGAAACTATGATTTAAAAAAAATCAGGATGTAGAATTATTAATACAATTAAAATACTACGCTGTATGGGACGGTTATAACAGATTTAATACAGGAGATAAGGAAACTGAATACAGAGGGGTCAGCACTGGAATTAGTGTGACGGCAAGATTCTTTAAAACCAAAACATCAGATAAAAAACTCAAGCCATGCCCTTAAATAGCTTATTCAGATCGTGAATTTCATATGGACGTCATGCATAACGACGAAGCAGTTTAGAAATATTTGAACTGTCAGTTGTATACAAGCCCTGCTTACTCAGATCGACGGTTAATGGTGGCTTGCAGTGAATGAATTTTGGACGTCTTAAGGAGGACCATTCTTTTTCGAACTACGCGGTCTGTTGCTACAGGATCGCAAACAACTTTACCAAATAACAGAATCCTCATTACTCGAGGACTTTAAACAGCAGCAACAACTAAAATGGACAGCGCACGTAAATGTAACAAAAATGACATAATGAAGTTATTCCCGTTCCAGAGTACTTCGAAGAAAACGAAAGAAGACCCACCCCCACCAACCATCGGTACTGGAAAGAACAATAACAATAACTGTACTTGAGAAATCTGGTTTTGTGAAAATTTGTTTTACCAGAAAGACTTTTTAGCACTTTAAACGTTATTTTTAGTGTATAATCGTATTTGGGGAGAAGTTCCGTTTGTTTCTTAAACTGTATATTTATTTATTTACTTTCGTCTACCGGCCTGAATGTTCGAGATCAAAGAAAAAATATGCGCTTGTCCGGCAGAATTCGAAACAGCGTTCCCCCTGTAGACGAAAATAAATAGTTTAATAAACAAACGGAGTGTCTACTCAAATACTAGCACCCACTAAAAATAATGTTTAAATGTGATAAAAATCTGTCGGATTAATAAAATATCCATTCTAAAATTCTTTAGAAAGATTATATGAATTTAAACCGGCGTAATACCACCTTCTTGGTCAATACATGAAGAATGTTTCCACATAAGGAAGAAGTTATCATTAGCACTACCATTCATAGCTTTGTATCAAACAAGGAAGAGTGATCATACAAGAATTATGAAATGTCTTAACACCTGTATGCATTCAAAATCTACTGAGCTCAATTAGAACGAATGTCGATAAATATCAATTAATTTTAAATTAGAAGACTTTGATCCGGAAACAGTAATGATGAAATCTGTCCTTTAATTGATAATGTAAGACCAATAATATTCTCACGCCATAAATATTAATAAATTAATCATTATCGCTTTGATTTATACAACAGATATAAATACACGTTATATCGCCATATTTAATAGCAAATTAAGCTCTCTGAAGTATTTCCATTAGTGCCACGCGCCACAGTCATCGTTGTGTGGAAAACTGACAAACCGTATTATATGATATCTTGTCGTGATTATGAATATTGATGGAGATTGTTCGTGGTCTATATGTCAGAAGTAATATATCTTTGTACAAATCGATAGCTGATTTTTAGAATACGCATCAAAAGAATGGCTTCCCCCACCACACACACGTAAACGGCTGAAAATGATCCGGATCCAGATAACATCTGTTAAATAGAGAAGAACTCCTTAGTATGATGATAAACTACATTCCGCAACAAGTCTTCGGATCGGCAGATTGGGAAAGTTGAGGAACGTGTAATCAACTCTTAATTGCTGGCGTTCCCAGGTCCTCCCTGACCCGAAGTGGTAGCACCTGGCAGGTTCCCATCTATGGGTAAATCGTGAACCCCCAAGCAAAAACAAAACACTAAGTGTAAAAATACATATACCAGCAGTACGTTTTATTTGTAGTTGAAGATTGCAATTGCGTTCAAAATAATGAGATGCCTGCATTAAATAACCTATAGATGTTGATATGCAGCTAAACAAAGTCAACCAACCATACAGAGACAAATGAGTTCGTTTCCTCTGCGAAAATGGTGAATTTCTTGATGCTATCGCTTCAGTTGGAGCTCAACAACATTTACGATTTGGAATCTTTATGCGAAATACGAAGTGAGAATAAAGTATTTACAAATGCAAACCTATCGCGTAAAAGTTCGAAATCGCATTAGAATAGTGAAAATGCCTTCCAGAATATAAATAGATATGCAATCTCTTGAGTGCTGAAATGCTAGTAGTGAATAGAGGTGTGGTTTCAATGGAAGGGTGCTATAATTCCATAAAAGGATGTATATATTTTCCACATTTTCCAAAATAAAATAGAATATTGAATTTTGAAACAGAACGGACAGTTGTAATCAGTTAAAATTATTTCTGAGACACAAAATGAGGAAAGATTGCCTGGAGAATTTGACACGCGCAGACTATAATGGAGATAAAACGGACAGAGGAAAACAAGGAGTAAACTAAATAAAGAGTTGGCATAAATAGATGACAAAAAAGAACTGGGATCAACAGTTTGCACTCGTCTTTAAGTAGATTTTTAGACTATATTTTAAACAAAATATGTTTATCTACACACACACACACACACGTAAACACCATTATATATATGAGAGAGAGGTAGAAAGCGGTAGGTAGATTTTGAATTTTTAAATAAATTTTGTTAAATTAGAAGGAAACCTAGGCAAATGCTGATATATTAATAAACACCATTGTCATATAAAATCAGAATTTAAAATTATTAATTAATAAATTCATATGAATTTTTTTACTTGTTGAGAGACTAAATGAAACACAAACAATAATCTTTAAAAATTTATAACACTTTTATAATTATAATTAATTTTAAAATATTACTAGCCAGAAAAGTAAAAACAAAAATAATAATAAATACAATTGTAATTAATTGACTATATAAATATATATGTACTCACACACACACACACACACATATATATATATATATATATATATATATATATATATATATATATAACAACTGGAATTAAGATCCCATTAGTGAATGATCATTTACACCCGCGATTTTTGAGTTTAAAATTCATAGGATTTTTCAAACTATGGTGTCAGTTTGTTGAAGAAGACTGGCGAGCTGGCGAAAGAAAGAAAGAGAGAATAAACTGACGCCATAAACAGCTTTCAAAAATCCTGTGAATTTTAACTTTCGCTAACAATATATATATATATATATATATATATGGATGTGTATTTGCGCCTAATCTCAGATTATTTTTATGGGTGTGTTTGTGTGAACTAGAATGAGTACACCTGTATGCATGTCTGTGTTTGTGAGTGTCATTTCAAAATGGACACAGAAGAATTAATATCGACAATTTATCTGTATTATTATTTTTTTTTATTTATTAATTGTTCAAATTTCCGAAATAGCTGCGGTTTTTTTTTGGGGGGGGGGCAAAGTTCATATTTATTTTTATTTTGTATTATGTTCTTTCCGAGTACATCCCGATCCTACTACATCCGTCTCTGAGGATTTTTCTCTATATTTAAACATTTTTTTTAAAACTTAGGTCTTCCCCACTTTCTCTCTCTCTCTCTCTATGTATCTATATATATATATATATGTTTGTGTGTGCGTGTGTGAAAGAGAGAAGGAAGAAAGAGATTTACTGATCATTAGATTTAATATATACTTGAGTACAGTAAACCCCCACCTATTCGCGAATCAGCATTCGTGGCTTCACTATTCTATCTATTCGCGGTCAGTTCTGGTCCCTAATCCCCACGAATACGGGGAACTCACGGTATAATGCTAGCTTTTTAGGGTGAGTTTCTTACACAAATTATAGAGAGTCGCAGTATACACAGATTATTTTTTGAAGACTTTAAAAATCATGTATTTTCGGTGACCGGTTGCACTATAAACAGGTATTTTTTTTCTAAATGAGTTCCTCATACAAAAACTTCAGGAGCCACACTATACATGAATTCGACTTATACACGAGTAAATACGGTGCTTTTGATTATTTTTTTGATTTTTTTTTTTTACAATGACTATGGTAATCTATACTAAGACTTATACACTTTTATCAATATTTGCTTCAGTAGTTGAATCCTATTTCGTTTTCCTTTTTGTTCCGGGTCTATTCTTATAAATGCGTGGATAGTTTTATAATTTATGATTTTCTCAAAGAACAAATGCCCAGTAATTGTCGCTTTGGAAACCGCAAATTAAAAACCATTCCTTATCTTTTCTACTCGCCGAAGTCGTAAGTACGAAGCTACTAGCGTACTCTTCAAAAACTAGATGAAAAAGAGAGCGGGTTGATTATGAAAAGAATTCGACGAAGAAAGGAGAATGAATCAGAAAAAAAATAAATGAAATGGGGATGAAAAATAAGGAAAAAAACAACGCCAAACAATCTGACGTGGTGAATTTTGTTTTTTTGTTTTGTTTTGTTTTTTTGTTTTGTTTTGTTTTGTTTTTTGGATTTTTTTTTAAGCCGAGTGTCAGAATAAAGGGATGAAAATTAAAGTCGAAAATGAAAAGGTAAAAAACGAAAAAATATTACGACTGTCAAGAATTATTTTGAGACTAGAAAGGAAAAATGTTAAACGAGAGTTTTTGAATAGCAAATCTAGAATTATTCCTCGAATTATACTGATCACAGGAAATATACTTCCGCTGTCGGTCAAACAACTCATTACCAACAAGCAATCCCGACCAGACTAGATAATGGGGTAGGGATAGTTTGAAAATGAGCTGATTTGAAACAGTGGCCACTCCATGAATAAACAGGGTCAGACGGGGGGGCTTTTTTTTTTCTTGCTATCACCGTTACCAATTCATTTGCCGTGAGTAATTGAAAAGGAATCTGCATTATACAAAAGAAGAATATTTTTTTGTCTAATATTTAACACACTCAAAAGAAAATAATAGTAGAGGAAAGCATATCTCTAAAGTATTTGCAATAACAAGAACAGCGTCAACAACATTAATACGTGGAGCGAGCTCATCCCAACGCACAGGATCTGCTCTCTACCCAATTGCAACAGCATGGTCAACAATGAAGCGTCCAGAAAATTTAGCAGACCATGAGGAGGGCTGCCCAGCGAAGCATACTGCTTAATATCTCTTCAGAATGCCGACTGGTGACTGAATCATAATTGGGACTATAATAATCCTGCCTCGTTATCACCAGCATCATCACTATCGTCATCTTAGCATCAACATTATCGGCATCATTATTAGCAAAAGTATGACTGTTGATGACGTCAGACTCATTATAATGTTTCGCCCTTGTTATCTTCATTGTTACTATCGATAGCATTCTTTACGTCAGTAAGATCCAAGTCGGCAATGAATCTATGCCTATTATGAACGACTAACGAACCGCCTCCATTGCTTTCTTTTGAAGGAACTATTTTCGAGAGAAATTCCATAACTTGTGAATATTCTGACATTATGCTTTTTGAATATTGGTTTTAATTATTCTGAATTTCAGGTTTATCGTTATTTTTTTACTTAAATAATAATATTAGTTTAATTTTAAAATTTCCGAAATAAGCACATGGTACACATTAGTTTTTTTTTTCAGTATCAGTGTGAATTGATTATATATATATATATATATATATATATATATATATAGAGAGAGAGAGATGCCTTGAGAGTTTGTGATCCTGGGTTTCACGCCCTTTACGGTCATCAGACAAACTCACATAACAAACAAAATATGCTAGCTTCATCACTGGTATTGAGCACTTTCTAGTAAGTACCGCGCATATGTAATATAAAATAATATATATAAAAATTGCATATATATATATATATATATATATATATATATATATATACAATTTTTATATATTATTTTATATTACATATATATATATATAATCATTAATTCACGCTTTCTAAGCCAATGAGAATCGATCGACCACACCTTTTTCTTCTAAACACGCAAACATAGGACATTCTCATTATCGAACGGCTATCGGCACGGACAGACCGTCAACACGTGTGTCAACAAACATTTCGGCTACTGTTCCTTTTTAGGCCATAATAGTAAGATTTATCTTTTAGTACCCAACAAAAATTCTAGGAAAGAACCCCCTCCCAAACACTTCTTGTATTTTCCAACTAAATTATCTAGAAACTCATTACACACATCTATAAAACATTTGAGAAATAATGCATACACTTAGTCGTTCTCGTATCATTCTGTCGGATTCCGAGCCATATTTTATCTACATTTGGCCCAAAATTACAATTTTACTCAGTATTAATGTCTCTTGTGTCTCCAACACCGCATAACAACCAGGTAATAAATAATACTCTTTTTGGTGTTTATACGTCTTACAGTTTCTACTTTTTACGAGTAAGTTTGTATGTATAATATAAATGTTAGGTAGTTTATAATTATTTACTCAATCTTATAAACTCCCCTACAACCTGTTTGTGCGTGCTGTTTAAATTTTACAATTTTTATACGGGATGGGTGTCCAGTTTCTGAAACATACCGTATAGAGATTACATTGAAGCGTAACATGCAATCAACATGCGGCGTTCATTTCTTTGTCCACTTATATATATTTAAGACATTTTTATGTTTATACATTCTATTTATAGTTAAACTATTTAAGTAAATGCATTGTTTATAATAAACAGTATTAAACAACATTTACCCGCCTGAATGTCCGACAAATTTTCAGGCCGGTAAGTGTTGTTTAATACTGTTTATTATAAACAGAGAATTTACGTAAATATTTGTATGTATAAAAAGAATGTATAAGCATAAAAATATCTTAAATAATTTCTCAGGATTTTGTCCATTTCATTACATATATATATATATATATATAACATCGGATTTTTCCATTTCATTTCACACACACACACACACACACACATATATATATATATATATATATATATATATATATATATATATATATATATATATATATTTCAAACACTAATATTACATTGTTCTAATTTATTACATTAGAATCGTAATCACGATCCAACTCATCATACCTACAAATTCAAAATTTGAATGTGTAGGTCTAATTAATTATATTCTTACTCTGTCCTGGACAATGAGCTCTACGTTGATTCTATCATCTTTGAAATTTATATTTTTATATATATATATATATATATATATATATATATATATATATATATGTGTGTGTGGTTTAAAATTTGCTATATTTATTGGAGAATAGTTCTTAATATTAAAGATAATATGTTTATAGATATAGAGAATGTTTACATAGGAATTCAGCTCACCATTATTGACTGATGGTTTCAAAGCCCAAGCGATCTTCAGTCCATGGTCTTAAGATTACGTTTAGATTACGCTTCGTCGCCATTGTCGGAGAAATCCATCTCGTCACTGTCCTGACGCTGTTCTGAAATATATCAACTTGAAGCTAATACTAGTACAGTACCGTTTATATAGAGAAATCTTTTTTTTTTTTTTTTTTTACTACAAAGGGTTATTGTGACACCTAGTAACTACGGCTGTCTATGCTTTTTCACTAGCAAGGAATAAAAACACGTCTACTCTCGTAAAAATTTACACCAGCTGCAGCGATCAATTATTTCACACCAATGATGACAGCGTTATTATAAGGAAATTCTTTCCACGCATTCCACCTTTTATCGAACAGAATAGTTGAAGGTGGCAAATCTGGAATATACTCTGGTTGTGGATGGGCAGTCCAATGAAACTTTGCAATCTGATCGGCCAATGTTCTCCCAATTAGCGTCGGGTCTGCCGACATCATATTGCAAGTGACGTATCTTTGTTTTTCTGTCCTGAATCCTGAAATTCAAGCCTTCAAGTTACAGTGGCGATTTTATACTTTAAGTTTGTTTTGGTTTTAGTTTTTTTTTTTTAATCATGTCACCCCAAGCAAGGCGATAAAGTCATTAAGAAGCATGGACTTACTGACATTTAAAAAAAATACTGAGAAAACGTTATTGTGGAGAGAGGACAATAAAGAAAATGAATTAAGGAGACAGATTGGAATTGCATTTATATTTTTGAGGATTGTAGTTGACAGTAAGCAAGATAATTCCACAAGCGATAACAAGAGAATAAAATAGACCATGCGGTTACGTCTAGAAATTTAAACAGTAAAATGATAAGACCTAACAGCCAATCTATTACTGCGCTTAAATTCGTGAAGTTGGGTTATCGAAGTAGGATGATCATAATAATAATCACCATAACAATATTTATATGAAAGGCACAAGTAAGGTCTGTTCGATGGTGGGTAGGTGATTGAAGACATTATGCTAGGTCAGTATATTGCAGATTCTTTTCTGGATTCGATCAAGAATTTATATATATATATATATATAGCAGAAGTACCAGGCCAGAGGTAATAGTAATATTCATAATATTCGTAGACATATGGGAGGTTAGCATCAGCCATGCTGATAGAAGGAATAGTTAACAGTGCCCGTCACTTGGCGCAGTATTGGCTACGTTTTAACGTATTTCTTTAATGGGGTTTTTGCCTGTCTCTATTTCATGGACAGTCGTTTTGATTCCATCTTGATGCGGTTCAGAAAGCTGTTAATTTCCAGCTAATAGTCGTTGATCAGGTTCTTACAGATTTACATTCTGTATTCTTTCTGATATTGTGTGAACATCTGTGTGGCTCAATTGGCACAAATTCTGGATATCATAAGGTTGTTAACTTCTTTCCCCGACACAGTGAAACCGATATTCTCCTTTGTAGACAGTTGCATGAAAGTATTCGTACGGATGACCTGATAAATGCGCTTTTTGCTTTGTGGGTTGGCTGTTTTGCACAGCCGTGTAGAAATTAACATATCACACACATGCACATAGGTGTCTTCCGTGTAAAAAAAATCATTATTCACTGCCTTTGCTCACATCCACTATTTGGTTTCCGTATGTACTTTCATGTCAGATCCTGTTTTGTCAGACTCCCTTTAAATCGCTATTTGATAACAAAACAAAAACTTCTGTTTATTTGGCTGGTGTATTCAGCCATCAACCTACGAGTAATATCAACATCATGGGCTAACATAATAAAATTTGTGGAAATGCTTCCATATACAAGGTGATTGAAAATTACTCTCAATTTTAAAATAATTATAATTTATTTATTAACTATAATTTTTAAAGAAATAGATATGAGAGGTAAGCGTTTAGCATGAGGTTTTATTTAAAAATTCAATATGAGCAACAGATTTCGCTACCAGCTTCTCAAGCCGTCCAGGAATTGCGTCAAGTGATTTCACCAGGAAATCTCGTGGTAGGGAAGACATAATTTCATATATTCGCCCTTCCAGTGTTTTGGCTTTGTATAGTAGATTTGCCCCTTTAACCAACCCCAAAGAAAAATGTCACAGGATGTTAAGTAATAGAGTTACTTATCAATAAGCTTGTGTGTTTATATATATATATATATATATATATATATATGAGAGAGAGAGAGAGACTGAGGTTAACATCGAGTGGTGAGAGTCTGTTTCATTCTTGAATGCAATCTTCAGGTCATGAAGATCGCGTTCAAGCATGAGACAGGCTGTTGCTGCTCGGTGTTGCAATTTACGGGTGGCGTAACAGTTATCATCAGGGAAAGTGGAATTGGCACGTCTATTAGGTTCACGTTCGCACCAACACTCCAGAAAATGACATGAATCTATTTATTCTCCCTTCATCTAAAGGTTAAATAGCAACTGGTTTCTCCAGTTTTACTGACAATAAGACAAGTAGAACGGTTGAAATCAAAGTTTTGTACACGCCTACGAGAAAGCACTTGATTACCTTTCCCAAGAAATCATCCTAATGCTGTTATGATATACAATAATAATAATCACACACACACATATATATATATATACTTACAATGTTGCGTTTAGTCTGGCACAAGTTTCCAGTAAATGATAAGCCTATGGGACAAGTAAACTCTTGAGACGAAGAACGCTAGCCTAACCATCGCTCTGTATATATGAAATGATCACATTAATAAGTTATCAGTAGGAAGCATATCACACATGATATCATTCTTATCGTTGTTATCAGTTCCAGAATCAGCGCCATTTTTGTCTTCGCTGCTATCGTTGTCTTCTATTTTTTTTTTACCATTTCTCGTTGTTATAAACGTTTTGCCAATGTTGGTCTTAAAAAGGTGACAAACATTATTCTCTGGAGATAACAGAAACAAGGTGTTGAAAAAAAAAAAAGAAGTTTACTTGTAGAACGAGGCAGTGAAAACGCTAAGAACAGAGAAGATATGAAGGTTAAAAATTAAATTGACGTAGAGATGCATATAAATAAAACCAGACTGATTGGGAATGATAACTTTTACGCGTTTAAATAAACAAGAATGTTACGATGGTTTCTATTAAATTTTACAAGTAAGAAAATGTACTAACATTTGGCATATTTGAAGATTATGTTCCGTTAGGTCTCCAAATGAAAAGATTTAACTTTTAAAAGATTACGAAATCAATTTACTGACATAAAAAGATAAGTCAAAAAAATCTCCAGTTACTCATTTTCATACGCTTGCTAGGGTTGCTAGCCAATCCTTGTTCGTAGACACCTGCTCAGGCACATTTGTGTTTGCTCCATACCCACAATTGTAATATAAAGCTGTAGCTTATATGACAACTATGCTGAGCATACCTTAGAGTTTCTAAAAAGGACCACATCTTCTGGCGTGAGCAAGGTCAACATGCTTAAACACTCGGTCACGATGACTTGTGACTTCATGCTAGCAAAACCATCGGCGGATTCAAATATTTCCGTCTAACCGACAACCTGTTGTATGATTTCTAAAGGTACCGCTCACCGAGATCTCCTTCCCGGGCAGATAAAATCAAGGTCACCTTCTGAAAAATCCACTATAATTGGTCTCGTATGTTTCACATGGTCGGAAAGTGAAGGTTCTATTGCATCCAAAGAATAAGGTAAGACTGATAAAAAGGCATAAACAGAAATTGAGAGATAATAAAGATAGAAATATAGGATAGTGTTAATAAAGATATATATATATATATATAGATAAGATAGATTAGTAATAAAGATAGATAAGATAGATAGATTGGTAATATAGACCGATTGATAGGTAAGTGTATTTAATTGACCCCCCCCACTGAGTCAGGTTGTGACACAAGGTCGGTTTTTAACGAGGGGACCCGAATGTTTTCACTCGGGCCGCAGGTCCAAGCTGGTCATAGCTTGTCTTGGCTTGTTCTAGCTGGTCCAGCCGGAGCCGGTCCAAACTAGTCCTAGCCGTGATTCCACCAGCCACGAGCCCTGTGCCAGGTAAGTATGATAGATACGTAAGATAGAGTGGTAAGATAGACAGATAGATAAGATAGATTGGTAATGTAGATAGATATAATGGTGATATAATGGTTAATGTATATAGATATGTTAGTAATAAAGATAGATAATAAAGAGAGACAATTAAGATAGATGCAAATAGTATGAGAAATACACAAATATGACGTTATAGTTACGTACAGACAGAAGTATTTATTGAAAGACTGATATAGACGCATATAAAGTGTTACCATACAATTCAGTGAATTTCTGCAGTGTTTAGAATACTGTCAAATTAACGGAGATTTTGGTTAGCACTTCGTATAAAGAGAAATCGAGTGATTGATAGATGCAATATAGACTTCATTCGGTTGAATATATTCATTTAAAGCTTTTATAAACCAATACGAACCAGTGTAATTCCGGAAGTAATGATGATAATAGGAAACTGGTGTCTTCCGGTTTAATATGATTTCCTGTCAATGCGAGATATTAGCGGAAGGTTCCTGAACTGGGGTTTCCTGGCAGAATCCGTAGCTGACTCCAGTGCTATGAGAGGAATCAATGGATTCTTTTATGGACGATTTAACCATTTCTGGGGGTGTGCGTGGAAGGCACTATTTGCGTTTTGGTGGTGTCAGCCTTTCCTGAACGTTGATCTTCGAGAAACACTCGATCGGCCTTGAAATGAGCGTTTCACTCAGAAATTTGTTTTAGAACTTAAGAATTATATTATAAAAAAGCTTGTAGAATAATCAACCTTGCTTGTCGTTTTACCTACAGTACTCATTTCAAGCTCTTAATAGTGGATTGTATGAGTCTTGATGTGAGAACGTTGCTCGAATCTTCCAGCCATAATGAAGATCACCGACTATCAGTGTTACAAAGCTACTCGGAACATGTGTACACGAATAGCTTGTACTTTGTACTAAAAATTTTGGCAGAGTGAGTTCATAAAGTCTGCACATTTCTGCTGAACAGTAGAATTTATTTTGACGGTGATAAGCAAATCATTGTGGTGTCGTGTCCTCTAAAATATCAAATACAATATTAATAAACCAATCCAACTCAAGAAAATAATTACATCTTAAAACACCAATAAAATCATAGAATACAAATCAGAAAGTTTGCTGTATTAGTCATGAATTAGGTAGATAACGCCAAAACATCGCGCGGACGTAGTAGAAGACATTCCATGTGGCTTTTTAGGACCAATTAGGAAGAAAGAAATAATTTAATTCTGGGGTCGATTTTAATACGAAAAAGTGTATAAAAACATATGAAATCCAGCCCCAACAGGATACACAGAGCTGTCACCAAACTCCACGCAACTTTCGCTTATGGTCTTCACGACCTCATGCTAAAAGAGACAGCGTTGACAAATTTCAGACTATAGCAACATCGCCAACAGTAAGAAACAATTTGTATCTCTTGAATCCTCTTTAATATGAATCACGCATACACGTGTTGATTTTTTTTTATACACACACACACACACACATAGCAACATTTTATTGTTCCTCACATACGTATACAAAGCAATTTATATTTTATTTCAGAACTTTATCAACCCAACGAAAAAGGCATTACTTTCCAATCTATGACCAATTGCTTGTATTCTTGTCGTTAATTAGATGAAGGTTCATTTGTTGAAAATATGTTGTCTTTTCTACTGAATTTATTTCCTTTCAATGAAAATCGTGTAACTATTGTAAACGGCCGAATTACGAGTAACCCTGCAACAATATTTTATGTTACTGTATCGAATCCCGACACTCCGAATTTTGACATTCAACGAAAATCCGAGTAGAAGAATTCCTACAATGGTAATGTTTATCAACTGCTTCTATAACGTCTGTGACATGGTGGACCGAATTAATAAAATGGAAGCCATTATTTTCGGAAAACCTTTCAGCAGGGATCATTTTAAAGAAAAAGAACGTAAAAAAAACGACGATTTTGAATGAGAGAAATGATGAAAAGATTTCCTTCAATGTCACAGAAAAGAAAAACGAGAATCGTATAAGATTCAAAGATACTTGCTAGCACTTGATTCTGCCTTCTTTTCTCCCCAAACAACGAAACACTTCTGTCTGTCATTATAACAGTTCTTTTTTTTTTTTTAGTGGTGGGTGGATAGTCCTACCCCTCCCTCAAATCTCCGCCTCTCTTTCTCACTGCTACCCTCCCCTGCTCTTTTCCCATCTGTCTTGTCTTCCTTTTAGGTTTCGTTTCTCTCCTCGGCTTCAACGTCTTCTTTCTCTTTCCCTCACCCACATCACCATTCAACTCTCTCACTATTTTCCTTTTCCTGATTGTTCTTTTCTTACTTTCTCACAATCCTCTTCCCGCGCCACTTATGCAGGTGTGGGGGGAGGAGACTTGTAACAGAGCAAGAACTCTCTTCCTAAATCAACTTCTATCAACGTTTTCTTGCAGTCCCTGCTCCAACAATAGTGAATTCCATATAAACAAATCCGTTTCACCTGTTATCCCTTCCTACGGCCTTGTTTCCCGCGCCGGACTGAAGCAAGAAAGAAAGAGAGAGTCACGAATCGAAGGAAAGACGAGAATCATCTGCAGCCTATGTTCATTAAATCGCCTTGTCTTTCCTCATTATGACTGGCTTATTGCTTTGTGGCAACCAACCCTTACCCTTAAGCCTGTCTGAGATCCCCCAACTTAACAGCCATATTCGAATTCTTTCTGTTATCCTCAAAGTTCGTATTTAGTACGACAGAGCCGATATAGATGAATAAATGCATAAAATAGGAATTTCCTAAGCACTATTAAATCTTAACTTTGTTTCCTGGTATTATGAATGACATAAATGTATTTTTTTTGCACATGTGTAGGAAGTTTGTCTGTAAAAACATATGAATACAATAGCGTTTTCTAAATTCTTCTAGTTGCTAAGGACATTTTGTTTTGTTGATAATAGTTAATTTGTTTTAATAAATTCACTTTGTTTTTGCATTGAAAAAGTCCATATTATACGAAAGATATATATCTAATAATAAGTTTATATTATTTGTTTATATATATGGTTCCATGTGTGTGTATTGTATATATATATATATAATTGTCTGTTATATAAATATAATGTATATATATATATATTTTTATATGTGTGTATATGTTCTGAATATATATATATATATATATTTATCTTCCCAACCTTATGTTTAGCATTATATATATATATATTTAGATATGTGGTATCAAATGTATTGTATGTAAATATAACTGAAATGTAACAGAAGTACATCAACAGTGTAATTAATATATAGATGTAAACAAGTCTGAATTCAAAAATAGTGTTGGTGTAAATGTGTGTACCTTCATGTCAGCAGGAATTTGAAATAAGAACGTGCTATATTTTTGTTTTTATGATTTTATGTCTATATATATATATATATATATATATATATATATATATATATATATATATATATATATTATATATATATATATATATATATTTATATATGTATATTTTTATGATAAATATATAATTTATTATTTTTAAATTTATTTATATATGATTTTATATGTGTTCCATATATTTAGTTTTTTGATGTTCTAATATTTTAACAGTCAATAAAAACTGAGTAAAACAACCTAAATGTTGTTTTATTTTCCATATAATATTTAAGAAAAACCAATGTATCTTTCAAAATGATTTAAAAAAAGGTATCACTGTATTATATATGTATGGATATACAATTAAAATGGATAGCATATGTAATGTGAAGAGAAAATAATAACATAAATAAGTTGTTTTTATTCCACACTACTTCAAACAAAGGTTTGGAAATAAACCCCCATCAATAGTGGAAAAAATCTAATAACAACTACTGGACTTGAGAAGAGAAAATAATGACATAATCAAGATGTTGATATTCCACATTATGCCAAACAAAAAGACAAGGAAAAAACACTTTAACAATTACTGGACTTCATAAATATATTTTTAAAAAAATTTTATAAATTCCAAAAAGAATGACTACTTGTCAATGTTGAATGGTAAATGTTTTCTTATCAGGAAACAGCTTTATTAACATTTACTATTACAATATACTTATATAAAATATTATAAATAAATAAAAATATTATAAAATATATTTATATTATAATTATTATTTTTTTTATATATATGGATGGAAATTTAAGAATAACAGCATCATTTTAAATTGGAGATGTACCATAAAATTACTTAAAGAATTGGTAACTGTGTTTATGATTGAGTTGCAGGAGGTTATGGGATTTCAATAAGAAATATTCAAACAGATGACAGAAGGATAAAAATATATATGATTCAATATTGATTGGGATACCATCAAAGGAGTATGATGTTGTGAGTATATACATATAAAAAAATCAATGAGGGATAATATAAAAATGCCAAACCATTATATATTTCATCCCAGAATTTTATTATAATATAAATAATGTTTTGTTTTTTTTCATCATTAGTGGATGGAAATATTGATTTATCTTCAATGTTCTCTGTATAATGTAATATTAATAGGAAAATACATTAGAGTTTTAACCGATGTACAATATGATATTTTTATTCATTTTATATAAATAAATGATAGTTAATGGATATAACATATATATATGTTTATTTATATATATATATATGTTTTTATATATATATATTTATCCTGTGTCTTTATTGTTTATAATGTTCAGTCATTTGCAATGTTTATAAATACAAGAAACAATATAAAATTTTAATATTTATATATATATATTATTTCTTTAAATTTTTATCTGTATATATATGTGTGTATATATATATATAAAACAAATAACTGATGTCCTATATTATAAAAAATATAAATATATGAATTATATATATAATATGTTCTATTATATATTTATACTCAAACATAAATTCAATGAATATAAATAAAATTGAAAAATTCATTCAGAAACATGTATAATACAGATGGGATCTCACTATATGTTTTCAGGTATTATATATAAATGTTTATCAAATAGATTATAATTGAACATCAAAATTTTTTAAGTTATGTATGATGTGGATTGTGGATCCATTGGACAATCTGCCTAATGAGCCACATAACGAAACTTATCATCCGAATTCAGATGAACAAAGCGCTTAGTCGAATTAAACCGGAAATAAAACAAGACCAGAACGTTTTCTTTAAAGACACTTGAACAAAGAATGCGATATTTATGCTCAGAATGATATCAAAAGGAACAATAAAAATCAGAAGGATGTATGTTTATAGATTTTCCAAAAGCGTTTGATAAGTTGCGACACAAAGCTAAGTAAGCTTTATTTATAAGGAAAATCATTAGGACAACAAAGAACTTATACTCGGACCAAACTCTTTGCATACGAATAGAAAATGAATTCAGTAAATATACAAAACAAGGAAGAGGTAGAAAGCAAAGATGTGTCTTCCCATCAGACTTACTTAACCTTTACAATGAGGCGAATCTGAGAGAATTAGAAGTCCTATGTGATTCATTATTAGCGGCTACAATCTCACAACATAAGACACAATGCTGATAGCAGGGACAGAAACTACATGGACTCCTAAAAAAGCAGGAAATAAAAATGGAAAGGAAGGAAAAAAAATTAAATTGTTAGAAACAGAATGTATGGTTTTCATTAAACGGAACAGCCCAAGCTGCAATCTACGAACTGGAGACACCAGAATCAAGAGAAGTAAAACAATTTAAACATCTACAAATTGTTTTCCAAGAGGACGGAAAATGTGACACCGAAATTGGCGGGCGATTGGAATTGCGAAGGAACAATGTTCAGATCCTGGAACAGACACGTAATTCAAAAACTAAACTCAGATTTTCATGTACACGATATTATAAAAATGCTTATAGAATAATCGACCTTGCTTGTCGTTTTACCTACAGTACTCATGCAGACTTTGAATTCTTTGCTTTTCAGCAGCAACGTCAAATGGCGAAGACAAATTAAGAAATATTCATAGACGGTGCAATCTCAGTAATAGCGGTCGCCGCTTGCATTTGATTAGAAGTTTTCCATCAATTGTTCCCTATCAGCTTGCCAACCCTTCTTTAACTCAGGTCGACTTTATCTTGCTAGATTCTAACCGCCCATTACTCAACTACTGCCTCATTGTCCGATCATTGGATTCGGTGAATCACAGTGAGGATAACGGGATTATTAAGTCTACCATATTGCATATTGACTTGGATGTCTGTAGTCGCAGTGATGGCTACAGCTGTAATTGTGGCTGCGTTAAAAAGACGACAAAGATTGTGACATGTACTAGAATTGGAACTGTCCTTATCAATTCGATAGCCTTTTTTTTATCCTCAATTGATATATTGTTGCTTCAATCCTTGTTAAGTATTTTGCTATTCATTTTTCTTCTTCTTCCATTTTCTATTAAATTCTTTTCCATTTTCTTCGCTTTTTTTTTAATCTTATATATTTATTTTTATTTTCTTTTCCATACATTTTTTCTTATTTAAAACACTTTTCATTTATCTCTTTGTATTTGCTGTTCATGCCTTTAAATCCCTACCACAATCATCTTTTTTCCCGCCTTGTAATCTTCTAAAAATATTTAGAAACAGTTTTCCGAAAAATTCATATGTATCAAAAAAGGAATATGATTTCAAAATTTAAAATATTATTATGGATTTTGTTTGTAATTGCATTTCTGAGTCCCAGTACAAATAATCATAAATAATTATTGACCGACTTTATCATTGTGATATTTTTGCATTATATCAAGTATGAATACAGTAATTAGGATCTTCAAATTGGAGGAGAGAGTTATCAATGATAATGTTCTGACTTTTAATCTGCAATTATCTCCCTTTAAATGATAATTTTTTTTTTTTTTTTATCGCCCTTTAAATGTACTTTTTATCATTTTTTTTTTTTTTAAAGGCGTGAGCAAATTTTCATTCCGAAAATGTGGCCCAGAGAAAAATTTGTTGTGAATCACTGGTTTAAAAACGATTTTAAGTTTTGGAAATATTTTTTCACGTGTCGTAATATAGCACCTCAGCAGACATGGTACTAAAAACTACTCGTTTTTTGGTTTTTTCAATATCTAATATTTGTCGTCCTTTGTTTTCATAAAGCCTTTTCAAAATAATTACATAAAAATTGTCAAAAACTTTATTTGCTGTTGCCATCTGACCCTCTTGAAGAAAAAAACAAGCTTATCTGTTGTTCTCATTTTCTTTAAAACGTTCTTGCTGCTCTCATGTTCTCAGCATGTTTTAGCAGAACCACATCACTGTTGCATGCAGTCTCTTTTTATTTAAAAGTTGAAATTTTTTCCCATCTTTTTTTTTTTAATAAAAGATCCCCCATGCCTGGCATGAAATCCTATTAAGCCACAAGGAGTTACAATTGGAAGAAGAATGTGTATGCCACCGCTTTTTATCACGAGGTTCTCGACAAAATATAAAAACGGATATGCAAATTTGATCGGTCCTGACTTTGGATCTCGATTCCAAAAATTTCTCACCAATGTTTTGTGGCTTATTCATGTTGATATTATAAATAAATTTAAAATTACCCTGATGGGATATTTTCACTTAAGCCTTATGTATGTATTTATTTCAATTATGAATGTTAAAAAAATCTTTTTAGTTTTTACTCTAAATATTCAAATAATTTAAAAAACTTTACTCTTCTACTCCAAAAAGTCTTCATTTTTTTATTTTATGGGTGAATAAATTAAATTGCTTCCCTGAAAAATATAAATTTTTCTTTTTAATTTAATGTTCAATCGACATATTCTTTGCCTTTGATTGTTTATTTATTTTATTCATTTTTATCCTCCTCCTTTTCTCTTTTTTATAAATTCCTCAAATCCCACCTCGAAATGAAAAAATTCTCTTACTTACACTGTCTTTTTTTAATATTTGTTTACTAAAAATCCCTTTGTTTTAGTTCAATGCTTAAAAAAAAAATAAAAATGAGCTGGAATTTAAATCCAGTAATCACTAAAAGACAATTTAAGTAAATTTTTTTTTTTTAAAAAATTAGATCAAATTTGGCTGAAAAGCTATGGAAAATAAAGGATTTCTTCATGCGATTGAAAAAATAAATTAGAATTTACAGTTATTTTAAATTTTAAAACAACTTGTAAATTGATGAAATCTTAATGAAGTTTAGTTTTTTCTTAATTTTTAAAAAAGTTTGAAAATAAAAAAAAAAAATTTTTTGTATTATATTTTTTGATATCACATATCAATTCAGCAAATGTTTCTTTGTTTCTAATGAAATTGTCCTTTTCTATTTGTGTCTAGGTTTCAATGTAAACAGCGATATAACATGTCTCTGTCGACTCTGGATCAACAAAAGGAATGAAAACTTTTTTAAAAGGGCAACAGAGAAAATTTTTTGTATATTAAAAAAACAACAATGTGTTTAAAAACCTCGCACATATTGACGCTCGTGTATAAAACAAACCGATCCCAAAAAATTGGATGCTTTATTGAGGTTATCTTCTTTGTTTTTGAATTTTCGGACATTATCCAGCAACACATATTTTTTCAGTTTTTTTTCTTTTTCTTTTTTTTTTTACATTTAAATTCATTCATTGTCCGTTATTGTCTTTTCTTCTCTGAAGCTCTTCTTCCTGTTATTTTTTAACTATTTTTTTATCTTCAGTTCTTTTTTTTAAATTTTGTTTCAAAACCATACATTCTTAACGCTTACCTACTTGCTTTTTTGTTTTGGAAAATTTTAAAATATTTTTTTTTTTTTTTTTTTCTTTCTGACATTCTCACGAAATCCATCCTATAATATTTCTTTGTTTCTCATTTTCTTTTAATGTTCAGACCTTTTAAAAAAATTTGGAAAAATTGGTTCTTTGATTTTTTTTTTTTTTACAATGTTTTCAACACTTTGTATTTTTGTCATTTTTCTTTCGTTTTTATATTGCTTCTTACATTATTCACATTAACTGGTTACCGGGTTTTAGAACTTCATATATTATTTCTTTAAACAACTACATCCCCATTTATTAGATAAAATTTAGATACATAGATAGATAATGAACGGTGATATATAAATATATATCATAGAAATATTATATATAGATTAATGAACGGTGATATAGATAATAGAATATTACATACATACATAGATAATGAACGGTGATATAGATAGATAGATACATACATAGATAATGAACGGTGATATAGATAGATAATGAACGGTGATATAGATAGATAGATAGAAGGATAGATAATGAACGTTTATATAGATAGATACATACATAGATAATGAACGGTGATATAGATAGATAGATACATACATAGATAATGAACAGTGATATAGATATAGATAGATAGATAGAAGGATAGATAATGAACGTTGATATAGATAGATAGATACATACATAGATAATGAACGGTGATATAGATAGATAGATAGATAATGAACTTTTGTAGATAGAAAATGATATTTTAAGTTTCATTTTTTCATAGATAATGAAATCTTATATATATAGATAGATATATAATGAACGGTGATATTATATTTATTAGATAGATAATGAACGGTGATAGAAAAATGAATAGATATATATTTTTTACCATATGTACTTTAGTTTTTTAAATCCTAATAAAAATTGGTTGGTTGTGAGGGAGAAATAATTGCATCATTTTTTTCTGAAGAACACAAGAGATTTTTCAGCTTGCGTTGCAAAACGTTTTCGAAATTCTGGCTTTTACCGGACACGAACAATAACCAAAAGAAATTATTCAGAAACAATTGAAAATTTTTAAATCATAAAAACACATTCTTACACACACATATAATAATATGAGTTTGGCTTTTATATTTAACAGAAAGTATATTATATTTATTTAACTGATATATAAAATTAAGAGGTCAGTAATATTACGCTACCTTTTCTTTCAAAATATATATCTTTTACATTTCAAAAAACTGATTTTAAACATTATTAAAAAATTAATGAACGCTGTTTATTTTAAAATAAATTAAATAAGCGTATAAAATGAATATGATTAAATATAAATTAAAGGAAAAAATTAGAAAAAATGATTTAAAAATAAATAAAAATTTTCAATTTCTTATTATATTTTAATTTAAAATATCTTTTATATATTTTTTGTAAACAATTTGAGATATATATATATAAATATATATATATATATATATATATATATATATATATATATTCATAAAATATATAAATATATATATATATATATATATTATATATATTCTATATTAAATATATATATATATATATATATATATATATATATATATATATATATATATATATATATATATATAAATATATATATCTAATATAATAGAAAAAAAAATAAATCAAATATTAATAAAATTAAAAACCTCGTTGCTTAGTTTGATTATTTTTTTAATAATAGCTATATAAATTTTCAATACATTTAAATAAAATATCATATATTTCCATCAACCTCACCTGCGATATATTAACGTAATCTATTATTTATTAAATAGAAATGTCCTAATAATTTTATATTGGTGAGTCTGGAAAAAATTTTATTTTTTTTTTTTTAACCATAAACAAACAATACGTCAAAAAAACCCTTTATTCCCCCATAAAAAAAAACACTACAAAAATCAAAAAACACATTAAAAAAACTGCAAATATTTAATAATAGATTGGATTTTATGAAAAAATTCAAAAACAAAAAAAATATTTTAAAAATTTTATAAACATAAACTAAAATTTGAATAAAAATACATAATTTGAAAATTTTTTAAATTAGGTGTTATAAATTTTTTCATTTTTTTTTTATAAAAAAATTAAATAATTTAAAATAATTTAATTTTTTTTTTTTTAAAATATCTTTACAAAATTGTTTTAAAAATAAAAAAAAAAAATTCAGTTAGAAACGCGTATAATAATCTTAGTAATTTTAATTTATCATTTGTTTACAAACAGTTATTTCTGAACAAAAATTGAACAATTTATATCATATATAATATAAATTAGTTTAAAATTTTTCCTGAAAAAACATTATAATTTTCAATTTGAAACTTTTTTATATATATATATATAAATATAAAACTAAAACATAAATTTAATATCTCCAGTGATATTATGCATCATATAATCTTCGTCAATTTAATAAATATATTTTTTTTTCGGCTTTTATATATATACGGGTTAGTTTTTGTTCAATTATTTATTCTAATAATTTTTATTAATTTGGAAAAATTCATTTATTTGGGTTAATTATTTGTTTTATTTTTATATTTTTTTATTTTATTTTTTTTATTTATGATTTTTTTTTTTTATTTCTTATTTTATTTATTTATTTATTAACAAATAAAAATTTAGATTTATATCACGTATTTAATATTTGTTTGAAAATATATTTTTTAAAGCTATTTGTTCAATTTTTTTTATTATTTTTTCATTCTTGAAATTATTTTTAAAATGAATTTTAATTTGGGATTGGTTTTGCCTATTTATTTACTTGGATGAATTTAGGTCAATTTATTTTAATATTTTTCTCTTTTACAATTTTAAGCAAAATACACTTAAAAAATTTAAAAAGAAATTTATTTAAATTATTTTTTTTTATTAAATCAAATTTTTAAAACTTACTTTTTTTCAGTTTTTTTGTTTTTTTTTTAATAGTAAATTTATTTTTTTTAAGCATTTTGATATCATTTTCTAAATATATCTGAAAAATAAAAAAAATTCACACCAAAAATATCTTTAAATAAAAAATTCATCAGCCTATTTACAACCAATCAAAACTTGCAAAAAATTTGCTTCAAAAAAATGAAAATTTCCCCATTTTAATTATTAAATAAAAGATCCGAAACTCATCTCAAAATGCAGGCATGAAAAAAATTTTACTAAATAACCTAAAATGAAAACAAAAAATAAAATTAAAAAAATAAATAATAATAAAAAAAAAAAAAAAAAAATAAAAAATAAAAAAAAAAAATAAATAAATACTATGTTGCTTAAAAACCGAAAAAATTGAAAAAGAAAATATAAAATAAATTGACCTAAATTCATCCAAGTAAATAAATAGGCAAACCAATCCCAAATTAAAAAAAACTCCCCCCAAAAAAATAATAGTTAGAATGAACTACAACAACCAACCCCAAAATTGAACAAATAGCTTTAATTAAATTCTCAAACCAAAACAAAACTGTTAAATACGTGATATAAACAAATTTTTACTACGTTAATAAAAAATAAATAAAATAAGAAACAAAAAAAATAAATAAAAAAAAAAAAAAAAAAAAATAAAACGAGCAATATAATTTTGACCCAAATAAATAAACAAAGCGACTTCCGGTAAAAATAACCGCCATAGTAGAATACCCACAATGCACCACTAACCCGTATATATATAAATAGCCGAGAAAAATAACAGCACATGTGGCCTGACGATTGCATATAGCATGAAACAGACTGTCGCCTCTAAGTGTTGACTTCTATGTTCACTTTTATATTTACACACGCTCTATCTCTGATATTGAGCACTTTATCCCATAAATATAGCACACCTTAAGACTATATTTCTTTATATACACATATATATATATATATATATATATATATATATATATATATATATATATATATATATATATATATATAATATCGTACATTGATTCGCTGGTGCTAATAAAATAGTGTTCAGTGTATATTAACAGAGCAAAAATTTACATTAATAAGTTCCTTAAACATTTTTCCCATCATTAGCCCTGGTGAGAAAAATGTATATTTATTATTCTTATATATATAATTGTACATTTGGGCAGAAATCCTTTTTCTTTATCGAAATGGTGCAAATGTTTTGTATGTCCTAGCACTTTCGGCTTAAACACAGTATCTTGTCCGTCTACTTAAATGAAACTTATATATAATGGATCTAGAATATATTTCAATTTTTTATTAACATTAATATTTTTAAAGGCATATCTTTAAAAATATTCCTGGCTTGTCATATTTAACGAAACATTCATAGAAGAACTATTGCGGCCCCGATATCCAATAGCAGATATCTGTGAGCATTTCTACATTTTATATATATGTGTGTGTGTGTGTGATTATTTGTCTGTACATCTACACTATGTATGTATGTATGTGTGTACACATGACCTCAGCCTGACTGTATAGATTCATATTCTAACCTTATCGTAATCCTTTTGGGTCTCTCCCGCACGTATCTATCATTTGAAATTTCTTTTCTTTTCTTTTCTTATTCTACTTTCCACCCTTTTTATTCCCTCTCTAATCTTAAGTTTATACTTTTTTTTCTTTCTATTTAATCCCGTTCGTTTTCCTTTTTTTTATATTTCCTTCTGCTTTTATGTACCTAACAATTTTCTCTCGCTCTATTCCTTCTTTCCCTTATATTCACGCAGTTTCCGCACTCATTATTTCTTCTCTCCTCTCCTATTTTCTTTTCCTTCATCATCATCCTGTTCTTTCTTTCGTGATGGTCAATTACCAACACGACATAGGTGGATTCTCCAGGGAAAAGAAGAAAGCAACTCAAGCCGCAAAAGGTCGACGATTGATTTGACGGGTAATTACGACCATGGTCGCCGGTAGTTGCTTGACATGGCGTAAGAGACGAAACGGGTGGTTATCGCTTCTCCCACCTGTATTCATGGACCGACCTCTCGCTCTCGTCTTCATCATCATACCCCAATTTCTCTGCCAACCTACAGCCCAACACTAGATCCGAGACCATGGCATAATTCTTCGTTTCTCTTTCCACCGTCCATCTTTTTGATCTTGCTTGGCTCGACGTTAATCAGTTCGTTCAATGACGTCATTTCTCTATTGCTAATAAAACAGATGTCGTCGCTAAGAGACCAAACGTCATGAATTGATATTATTATTATTATTATTATTATTATTATGGTGATGACGACGATCGTGAGGTTTTAACATTAATATTATTAATATATATTTTCACTTCCGAGGCTAACGTAATGAAGATGGCGGGGGTTCGTTATGCCGATGACATAGGTCTTCATAGTTTGTATAAGAATAAGGACTTGTACATATCTCAACATTCTTTATGAAGTAGCCCAAGAAATAGAACTGAATATAAAAATTTACCAAATCAGAAACTGTGAAAATGAAACAAAATCAGTATTGGTACATTTTTTAAGCGGTATCACTCCATGTAAGGCAGTAAAGCTACTAAAATAGAAGGGGTTACAGGGTGTGGAAAATTTAGGAACAGAAGCATTAATAATAAGCGGGAAGAGGAAACTGTAAATAGGAGAACAGTAGATAGTGATTTACATTGAATTTAAATTTTTAGTGATTAAGGTTGGTTGGACAGAATGGAACCGGAAATGTATTCCACAAGCGAGAAATAAAAGACAGAGACTGTTAGCATAGAACTTACGGCTATATATAGCCAGCTTAACTATGAATTGAGGACACCTCGATGCTATTCTAGTACTGTGCTTACATTCATAAATTCTATGTACCATAGCGAAGAGCTCATCCAAGTAATTACTACGAAAGTATTTGTCGAAAATGCACAGAGAGGTAATCTTACGGTTGTGGGAAAGTTACTGAATCCGAGCCGCCAGTTCAGTACCAATAATATTACTGATTTTTCTTTGGATTTTGTGAAGGAACTCAAAGCAAATACCAATGTCAGCAATATTCTAAGAATGGACGAATGGACTTATATATATTAAGTTAGGTTCTGGAGAGAAATTAGTTATCAAAAGCACTAAGATAACCCAAGCTTATTAAAGAAAAGAAATGAATTGATGGTTACATGTAGGCATAAAAATAAATATCTGCTCAAATACGTTGATCCAGATTAGTTTTTAATGTAAATTGCTTTTTTGTTGTTTTTTTTTGTTTTTTTTTACCAAAAAAAAAAAAATAATCTCCCTTTTTGTTTATCATAAAAAACTAATATACACATATCTAAAATATTTGGGTTTTTGCATATATATATATATAGATATATCCCATTTATTGTAAATGCCAAATATATATTTTTAATAAAAAACTGCAATCCCGTAGAATATATGACTGTGACAATATGACGTTAACCAGATATTTTCATTAAAATTTAAATTACGTGACGGTTAATCTGCACACACACCACATGATGACTGCGTTGTACATGGGGACGCCGAGTCGTGGTATCGGTGGGGGATAATAAGTATTTTTATGAAAGTATATTTAACAGCTCTGTTTTATTATATCGACCAATGTTTTACTAATACCACCACTGTAAATATATATATATATATATATATATATATATATATATATATTATTCTTTATTTTCCATATTTTTTGAATTAGCAAAGGGAGGTGTAATCTTCTCTGTATCGTTCCAATTTTAGATTATCTACTGCCGATGCGATATATATATATATATATATATAATTGGTAACACCCCATGCAAGGTAGTAAAGCCATTACAAGAAAAACGGATTGCAGGATATGGAAGAATTAGGAACAGAAATAATAATGATGAGCAGAAAGAAAAAATAATATTGACGTAGATAGCGATTGACATTGCATTTAAATTAAAGTTGGCTAGATACCATGTGGCCGGAAAGAATTTATACAATCGAGAAGTGCGAGAGAAGAAACTGTTAGCATAGAATATATGGCTACAAATTGATAAGATCTCGTTGCCAGTCTAGTGCTGCGCTTAAATTAAAACTCTAGGTAGCATAGCGAAGAGATTTACCGAACAATTACTATGAAAGGAAAAAATCAACCTTGCGCCAATGAAAAGTGCATATATAAAAGAAAAATATCATATATACCAAGCCCGATATAACCATCATGACACCCAGTCTGATAAGGGTATACCAGCCACATGAAGTACAGTATGCGATATGTAAACAAGTTTTGATAAAAACAGCAAAAAAAAAAAAAAAAAACCCGCAGATGGGGCCCAGTTAGAAATACCTTCCGGTAGAGTTGCTCATCTGTTCAGACGGTCAATAATTGAGGATATTCTCAAGTATTGAGACGTGACTCACAAGTTGCCATAGCTACTCCCGCTTAAAAATTCCTTTTCGACACCCGGCCATGATGCTTCCATATTATTCACATTTATGAAGAGAGATACACCGTGTGATTGCCCTAAGTAATATACCCAAGAGTTTACGTCTATGCACCTGACAAGCAACTTTGTGGTACTGAGCGGAATACAAAGACAAGACAAAACACATACATTTTAATATATTCGATAATAAAGCAACATCTATCGGCCAGGATGTCCTGGGTATGACAATAAACTACATCCGCGTCCTGGGTATGACGATAAACTACGTCCAACAGCAAGGCCTCAGATAATGTTTTCGGAAAAATAATGTTGCCAGCTATACGTTTTTTAAAAAATAATGTTGCCAGCTATACGTTTTTGAAACAATAACGTTGCCAGCTATACGTTTTTGAAACAATAACGTTGCCAGCTATACGTTTTTGAAAAAATAACGTTGCCAGCTATACGTTTTTGGAAAAATAACGTTGCCAGCTATACGTTTTTGGAAAAATAATGTTGCCAGCTATACGTTTTTGAAACAATAACGTTGCCAGCTATACGTTTTTGGAAAAATAATGTTGCCAGCTATACATTTTTGGAAAAATAATGTTGCCAGCTATACGTTTTTTGGAAAAAAATAATGTTGCCAGCTATACATTTAATAGTGCTATATATTTAATATATATATATATATATATATATATATATATAAAACTTAATTTGGCATTAAATGACCTACAGTGGTTGATATGCCATAATACCCAACCAACCAACCAACTATCCGCCAGGATTTTGAATCCGTCTGCCAGGAAGAGCCAACTAACCAGTAGTTCTGGTTCTGGCTTTGCTCTGCTATTGCTGGGCATATAATAAATAGTAGGAAATGTACATTATTTACATTATTCGGACTATCGTTCTCATCTTTGTCGCCATTGTTATTACGAAGTTTCGGCCGTTGTACGCTCCGGCCTTCTTCAGGTGGTTGGAATGTCGAACCTGAAAGACATTTGTAAAAACATATTACAAACCCCGCCGTATCACCCGACGTCGAACGGACAAGCGGTACGGTTTGTGGAAACGTTCAAAAGATCTTTGAAGAAAGCAAGTCCTGAGAAAATAAATGGGGAGGCACTTCAAAATTTTTTGAGAGTTTACCGTGTAACGCCTAACCCGAATATACCATCAGGTACATATCACTGGTAGAATTATTGTTTGCTGGAAAAATAAAATCGGTGTTCAACAAATTATTACCAAGTCGAAAAACGCGAATGGATAACAAAAAGGATTCCAAAAGTTTCAAGGTCGGCGATAAAGTGTATATTTTGAGCATATAAGGATGACAAAGAAAGGTGAGAAGACGACATAATATCAGAAAGAATCGGTAAAAGGTAAAAGATTTGAACATAAAAGGCACTAAAATCAGCTGAAAAAAAGGTTTATTGATGAAAGAACTGAAACATTGGAAGAACCGATAAAAATGCTATATGATGTTTTAAGATGTGGCCACACCACAATATGTCGAGAAGCCTACAAGGACAAGTTTCAGAAAAAGAAAGCGTACTGAAGAACTGGAAGTGGGTCCGAGACGGAAACGCTACAGTGTCAAGTACTTTGGCGAACTCTCCAAAAAGAGGAATGGAAGATTGATAAAAAAAGGGGGGTGGTGTTGTGGAATAAATACACGCCCGGTGACTATATGAACTAGTCTATAACTATAAAACGCTCCAGGTAAGAGGAAGAAAAAGCCGTTTGGAGTCAGTCTTCAGATTAATTAATACAGGCGTCATGTCAAGTAGCAGAATGATTAATCATATTAAAAGCGCTACGAAGCCCTTTATGATAGATAGATAGATAGATAGATATGAACATAGATAGATATGAACATAGATAGATAGAAAGATATGAACATAGATAAAAAGATATGAACATAGATAGATAGATAAAAAGATATGAACATGGATAGATATGAACAGAGATAGATAGATATGAACATGAATAGATAGATATGAACATAGATATGAACATGGATAGATAAACAGACATAGGTATGAACAGAGATAGATAGATAAACAGACATAGATATGAACAGAGATAGATAGATAAACAGACATAGATATGAACAGAGATAGATAGATAAACAGACATAGATATGAACAGAGATAGATAGATAAACAGACGTAGATATGAACAGAGATAGATAGATAAACAGACGTAGATATGAACAGAGATAGATAGATAAACAGACGTAGATATGAACAGAGATAGATAGATAAACAGACGTAGATATGAACAGAGATAGATAGATAAACAGACGTAGATATGAACAGAGATAGATAGATAAACAGACGTAGATATGAACAGGGATAGATAGATAGATAAACAGACGATAAACAGATATGAACAGGGATAGATAGATAGATAAACAGACGTAGATAATGAACAGGGATAGATAGATAGATAAACAGACGTAGATAGAACAGGGATAATAGATAAACAGACGTAGATATGAACAGGGATAGATAGATAGATAAACAGACGTAGATATGAACAGGGATAGATAGATAGATAAACAGACGTAGATATGAACAGGGATAGATAGATAGATAAACAGACGTAGATATGAACAGGGATAGATAGATAGATAAACAGACGTAGATATGAACAGAGATAGATGGATAGATAAACAGACGTAGATATGAACATGGATAGATAAACAGACATAGATATGAACATGGATAGATAAACAGACGTAGATATGAACAGGGATAGATATGAATATGAACATGGATAGATAAACAGACGTAGATATGAACATGGATAGATGGATAGATAAACAGACGTAGATATGAACATGGATAGATAAACAGACGTAGATATGAACATGGATAGATAAACAGGGATAGATATGAATATGAACATGGATAGATAAACAGACGTAGATATGAACAGAGATAGATAGATAAACAGACGTAGATATGAACAGGGATAGATAGATAGATAAACAGACGTAGATATGAACAGAGATAGATAGATAAACAGACGTAGATATGAACAGAGATAGATAGATAAACAGACATAGATATGAACAGGGATAGATAGATAGATAAACAGACGTAGATATGAACAGATAGATAAACAGACAGATATGAACAGAGATAGATAAATAGATATAGATATAAACAGATAGCTAGCTAGCTAGATAGATAGATATGAACAGAGGTAGACAGATGTAGATAGATAGATAAAAAATATATGAACACACACTGATTGATAGATATTATTTAAAAGAAGAATGTTTGTAATATTTTCCTTTCTTAATACAAAATTATAATTAATTTTTACTATTTTCATTCTTTGTGTATAGTACATTGCGCGTTCAGAAACTTTTAACAAAAATAAAATAAACTTTCATACTGCCATATCTACTGAACCTGGGGATGAAAATGATATTAATCCGTCCGCCCATTTGAATGCATTACGGCACAAGGTCGCGTTTAAAGTGGGATTCCCCACATGTATATGAGATTAGTAACAGAAATGGTACGGTTTCCCTTTGGGACATTTAAAGCATTAAGGATTGACTCTGACTTTCCTGAATTAAGTGCAGTGGGATAGGTACTGCGTTGGAAAGGAATGGTCGGCCGGTGCTGAGTATATTATACTTATGTTCAACCCGATTGGGGATAAAAATTAAGTTCAAAGAATGCATTCCTTCTGTTTATATTCCTCTGTAAGTTTTAGTGTTTTTGAGAAAACGGGTTTTTTTCACAAATATTTTAACGGCAGTGGTTATTTAATTAGTTTTATTTTCCATGGTAACTAAGTTTGTTTTTTTTTTATTTTTTTATTTACTCATTTAATATCATATAATTCAATATAAAAATTAAATTTAATAATTTTAAATTTATTCCAACTGGATTAATTTTGTTTATTTAATACTGACTTCACCATGTTGAATAATTTTAACAATCTGCAATAGTTTTATTAATTTAACAAATGTATGAATTTAATAATGAACACCGTCAGCCGGTAACAGAACGCGGATTCAATTTTCCATGCAAATAACCAGTACGCCAACTCGATTCTCTCTCTCTCTCTCTATCTCTCTCTCTCTATCTCTCTATCTATCTATCTATCTATCTATCTCATTCCGTTCATATCTATCTATCTATATCTCTTCATATCTATCTATCTCATTCCGTTCATATCTATCTATCTATATCTCTTCATATCTATCTATCTATCTCAGTCCGTTCATATCTATCTATCTATCTATCTATCTATCTCATTCCGTTCATATCTATATCTCTTCATATCTATCTATCTATCTCAGTCCGTTCATATCTATCTATCTATCTATCTATCTATCTATCTCATTCCGTTCATATCTATATCTCTTCATATCTATCTATCTCATTCCGTTCATATCTATATCTCTTCATATCTATCTATCTCATTCCGTTCATATCTATATCTCTTCATATCTATCTATCTCAGTCCGTTCATATCTATCTATCTATCTATCTATCCATCTATCTATATCTCTTCATATCTATCTATCTCAGTCCGTTCATATCTATCTATCTATCATCTATCTATCTATCCATCTATCTATATCTCTCTATCCGTTTATTCTATCTATCTATCTCAGTCTATCCATATCTATCTATCTATCTATCTATCTATCTATCTATCTATCTATCTATATCTCTTCATATCTATTTATCTATCCCAGTCTGCTCATATCTATCTATCTATCTCTTCCAGTTTTCTTCACACGAATCCACCTCTGTTAATCTGTGTGTCTCTACTAATATAAACGGTTAGATTTGTGTGTCTCTACTAATATAAACGGTTATCTCTGAGATGACGTATTACGATTACTTACTTATTTACGTTATTTGGACTGTTATCCTCATCTTCATTGCCATATTCACGTTTTGGCCGTTGTACCCTCCGGCCTTCTTCAGGTGAGTGGAATTTCGAACCAAACCCTTTATTTCGTCCACCGGGGTAGATTGTTCTAGTTTCACGCGCCATGTCTCTTCTGGATGTCTCAGTTATTTTCCTTTAACACAATTCTCCAAGTTTTTTGATTCACCACTGCTGTGGCCTGGTACCGAACTCACAACTCTTTGGGTCTAGCCACTGGTTCTAACCGACGTTTGTATCCACTGCCTCAATCTTTTTTTTTTTTTCAGTCTGTTAATCGCTCGCTCTCGCATATATATATATATATATATATATATATATATATATATATATATATATATATATATATATATGTCATGTCATTCGCAGACAGTACTGTTTCGCTGTATCACAGTTCTTCAGTGCGACTAGACAACCGAATGCCTCAAACCAGGATTGAAACCCAACCGATTTGGTGTCCGTCAGAGTTTCTATCACTGAGCTATGAAAAAAGGAAAATCTTATGAACACATGAGAAATTTTCAAAGACGCTTGCATAAAAGAGAAATTATTTGGGCAATAATCTCTTTTATGCAAGCGTCTTTGAAAGTGACTGACAAGGTGCCGTGGTTGAGTTTTTTACATAATTGCTCAAGTGTTCATAATATTTTCCATTTTTTCATGTCATAAATTATATCAAAATTGTCCGAATGTTTTCCAAGCGCTTTGGGCTATATTTTTAGCCATTATCAAGGATGAATTTTATTTTACTTTTAACTGAATATATAGATTGTCTTATGTATGTATCTAGAGTTACAGGAATGTTTTATTTTCCAAACAAACAGAAGCATTATTAATAATAATAAAAAAAGAATAAGCCAACAATCAATAATATAAACTATGAACACTGCCAAAATGTGCTATCTCAAAAAACAATCTAAAAAAATATTTCCTGGCTTTAAATAACCGGCAGTGGGTTGATAAGCCGTAAAAAAACGAATCAATCAAAAAAAAATATTAACTCGAAAACGTCAAGATAAGAAGTTACTTGAATAAAAAAAAATATATTCAGAATTTTAAATAAATTGAAACTTCAGAGTCTGACTCTATTTCTGAGATGAGGTATTATGTACATTATTTACATTATTCGGACTATTGTCCTCATCTTTGTCGCCAGTGGAGAACTTTCAGAGGGAAATTAACAGGAGATAACTGATAACTGACATCCATCAAACATGACACGTGGAACTAGAACAGTCTACCCCGATGAGCGAAATAAAGGGTTCAGTTCGACATTCCAACCACCTGAAGAAGGCTGGGGCGTACAACGGCCGAAACGTTGTGATAAATATGGCGACAAAGATGAGGACAATAGTCCGAAAAATGTAAATAAATTGAAACTTAAATATCTATACATGTAATCTCTTGATGGTCGGTGATTAAAAAGGCTCCCCGACTGCAATTTATTGCGACTGATGCGGGTTGTTAGCAGCCCTGTAGGTTAAAAAGTGAGACCTACGAAAGGGGAAAGGATTCCTGTTGAGCCAACGGCCAACTAACTAGAGGCGGTGTCTCACTAAAATCACCGTGGGGAAAGTAGCAGGAAATCACTGTACTATTGATCCCAAGTACATTCATAACCATTGATATCGAACTTCGTGAAAGAAATTAAGTCTATTGATTCCCCATCATTCGGGCGCATGTGTAACAGGTTTCATCTGACTTTCATCCAAGTACTGTTAGTAAAATAAAAACGGCGTGAAGTGGGGTTAAACTCCTTGCAATTGGTCCCTCTACTGATAAAGAAAGTCATGAGCGATAAGTGCCACCGGATACCAACAACTGTTTGCATTTAAAAAAAAAAATAATTTAATGAACATGGAACGTAAAAATGCTAAATCATTGTGGCTAGATACAAAATATAAAACAGGAAATGAATAGACTAAATGTTAATATTTTAGGGGTATGAGGAACTAAGTGGGCAAATAATGGCGAGTTTGTCAGTGACAGACACAGGGCCATGTTTTCAGGCAGAATGAAAAATGAGAGGAGAGTAGAACCACGCAGGAAAATATATGGTCTGGGATACTATCTATGTGACTGAATTCTTGTAGTTAAACAAAGTGAAGAATTCTAATATATTCATTGTAGCTGTATATGCACCGACAGCACAAATAACGGAAAAAGAAGCTGAAAAGTTTTAATGTACATGTGACAACGTCAACTTTTACTGTACATGGGACCACAGTTCAATACAAAACGCTGAAAATTGCAATCATCATAGGAGGCCTCAATACCCAATTAGGGAAGAGGTAAGATGGTGAAATACATAGCAAATTCGAACAAGGTAGTAGCCGACACCTGGTTTCAAGAAAACCCAAGAGGTTTATGGCCATGAAGAAGCCTAGGAGAAGAACCTTAGATCAGAATCGACTACGTAATAATCAATGAGGGATTCGGGAATGCATTTTGTAGTAAGCCATGTGTTGACCGCCTTCCAGGGACATGTAATATGTAACCTAAGTGTTAAACTGGGGAAGTTGAAGAGGCATCACCCAAATTGCAATATGATAGACTACTAAATAACCCGAATTTCCCAGATGTATACAGAGATTTGTTACAAGCAGAAACTAAATGATAATGGAAATTCGCAAAGAAAACTAGATAAGCAAAAAAGCAATGGATTCCAGATGCCATTCTTGATAAGATGAAAAGGAGACGGCAAATAATGGTGTAGAATATAGGATATTACATAAAGGAATTCGAAGGCAACGAAGAATGGCCCAACGGAAATTCTGAAGAACTAACAAGGATGGGGAAAATAACAGGACAAGAGACGTGTTCATCCACAGGATGCATGAAATCAAAAGAGGAGATGATGATAATAGAGAAAGAAAAAAACACGTCAAAGATGAAAATACATCGGAGAACTCTTCCATTTCGAAAGAGGAAAACCCGCAATGCGCACAAATATAGAGGGACCAGAAACATTAAAGATTGGAGTGAAATCAGTATTGGTAAAATTAAGCAAGAAAAGGAAACAGGACCTGATGAGATTGTAATTGAGATGCTAGCAGACTTAGATGACTTCTGTATTGACAAAATTAGACACAAGGTAAATAAAATCTACTAGATTGCAGATATACAAGAAGACCAAAGTAGATCTATTGCCATAGTGCTGCTTAAGAAGCCAAATGCAAACGAATGCAAAACACCATTGGACATTGAGACACACAACAAAGTATAGTATCCTAATTCTGACGAACAGATCACGTAATAGAATTAAACCTGAAATAGGACAATAATAGTGCAGTTTCATTAAAAACACTGGAACAAGGAATGCAATATTCACGATAGCAGAAAGAAAATACCAAAGAATGTATACCTGTGTTTCAAAAGCCTGTAACAAAATAAACCCCAAAGAACTGTTAGAAATATTAGGGAAGCTTGATTTATTTGGGAAAATATGGGAATTATCCAGAAGTTCTTTGGGGAGCAAATCGCCTGTA